GAGACCAGAAAGGGAAGAGGAAATTGCATATGGCACCATGTCCAGGGCCTGAGTGCTGAGAAAACAATCATCAGGCATCACATCTGAGGAGATAAATAAGGATAAGTTCACAGGATTTCTGTCCTCCCTCTTGTCACAGCTTTTTGTTGGAGCTGTTTGCTGTGGAGACATGCATTTGAGAGTGCATCTTATTGCTACAAACGCCCCTTCCAACACAGAACCACTCTTCAGCAATACAGAAACATTTGCACATTTCCTATGCCCAAAGCTACATCATCAGACTTCATTCCCTCCTGAAGAATTACTGACAGAAAAATCATACATGCATTATAACTTCATTTGTTGGCTGGACTGAACACTACAGATTTCAGTTGCAAGTGGAAGCTGTCCTCTTGTGCATCACTATGGTTCTGAGTGCTTATGAACCGATTTTAGAACTCAATTCAAAATCTAGGGACATTCTGATTTGACTGCCCTCTCAGTGGGTTTGCTGCCTGTCGCATTAACAGTGAAGAAGCAACGTCACCCACATCCTAAGATTCTCTGTGTTGCTTTTTGCACATCTCACACTGCATACACAACGTCACACCCTCCACATGGGGATGAGGGGACATAGGAAGATGTGGGGGGAGACTAAGTGACTCACTGTGCGTCCAGACTGCCAGATTTGAGCAAAGAAGGGGTCAGACATCACCTAATAGTGGAAATGAGGAAACCTCGATAAGATAAGTGCAAAGGGACTTGGTAACTATGACGGTTGAAAAAGCCTGGAAGTCAAAACTTAAGATGATAAAAGGACCCAAAATTAAACAAAACAAAGCAAAACTTGACAACATTAAGCAAACTACCAAAACAAGACAGAGCTACCACGTGATGCCCTGGAAATGCATTGCTCAGTTAATTCATGGAACCTTTCCCACTTCCTTTCCATACTGGCTTGAAGCAATTGTTCCTTATCTGGTTGGCAAATTAAGAGATTACTTTATCCATTTTGAAACAGAATCACAGAACAGGTGAAAAAACTGTTGGTTATTTAGAGCCTCCCCCAGTCACAGCCGTCACTGTGAGCCTCTGAGAGTGGAAGATAGGAGCACAGGGGAGATGACTGTTGATGTCATGACGAAAACCTGCCAATATAGGATGCCAAAACCAAGCTTCTGACCATTTGTGGTCATTCAAGATCCCAGGGCACATTTTGCAAGAGTATGGGTGTTAGCCCTGGTACACTGTCCAAATCCAAGCTTGGCTATTTATATTCAGCCTCCCTAAAATACTGCTTGGAGTTTCAACTGGAAAAGTTAATTTTGCTTTTCTGTCTGGAACTGCGTGATGATGCAGGTCCAACAGTGGCATGTGGAATGCCATCGGAACAGTGTCCCTGTGGTTGGCAAGTCCTGGGAAGAGTTCCCTTTCTCGCCTTGCATCAGCACTTTAACACCCACAGACTGAAAAAGATGCTTTAAAAAAATTAAGAAGTGATTGATTTCGAGACTGTTTTCAGGAAGCCCACAGGCATGAACCATCCTTAACAGCCCTAACTCCAGTTCTGCTTTTTAACTTGTAATGCTCAACATTAGGTATCACCCAGAGAGACCAGAGGTTCTAGATGTAAACTCTCCATTCCTGTATTCCTCTACTGCAGGTGATGCTCATCTAGTCCCTGTGGTCAGGAATCAGCACAAGCAATACACTGGACATCCCTCAATCAATTTGCTTTCTCCTCATCACCCATCATTGATTTTGACCAGAAAAAAACCACCTGGTTGATGGCAGCAACCTTGACGGGTTACGAACATTGTGCAAAATGAAAGGTGAACTCCAGTGTCCACCAATTTGTTCCAAGGAGCCCTACTGACCATAAGGCATGGGGGCTCAGAGTCCAGGTAGATCCTGGGAAGCAGACTGCCAGCTTCTAGGATTTTCCACTAGTTTTAGCACAGCAAAGCAAGCCCTCAGCATTGTGTCTTTTCCCATCATTAAAGCCAAGTTTTTCAATGGTGCAGAATTTAATCCTGCATCATCAAAAGCACATTCATGCGAAAAAAATCTATTTTCTTTACCTTTCAGAAACAATAAATAGGTAAAGTAGTTAAAAATTGAAGCTATTCAAATAACCAAAGGCTACGATTGAATACAGCCAAGCCAACTTACTCTGAGACATGGTATAATTCCACACAGATCTGGAAAAGAGATACAAGGAGAAACGTGTATCAGCCAAAGTTAATATTTTCACAAAAATGGTGAGTCATATAAACTGGGATTTCCTCTTCTAGCCACTTGCAGCGTATCGACTGAATCAAATCAAATTCGATGCAATAACTTTCATCTGATACTGCAGTATGTTCAGCTCAGGTAAGACAGACTTTATTTTGGGCCTGAATTCTTCCTTTGTATCTAGCTTCTGAAATGAGTAAGAAATAATCTTGGCTTTCAGGATTCCATCCCATGCTATGGCTCAACATGATGTACCCACTTCCTTCCTGATCCTCACTTATCCTCCAGAAAAGCAGTACAGAACCAATACTCTGGTTACTGGCCACTATGTTAAAAAAAGAAGCTTCAAGATCATCCTAACTAAAACTAGTTATTCTTCCCCCTCCCATCCCCAAGAATATGAAACAAACCAGCTCTATTTATCCTTTTCTCTTTTTCATGAATCCACTTCAACAAAGCAAGACGATAAGACAAGGAAAAGGAGGAAAACCTATTATCTTACAGAGTTCTCCTTCTTCATGTTCCACCATTAAAGTTCTCAGTTTAAAGTTCCCAAGTAACACCAGGGAACATCTCGGAGAAACCAACAGCCCAAATTTCTTCCTATTCCTTACAACGCACTTCAAGTTCTAAGCTATTTTAAATAATGGAAGGCACTTCAGAGCTATTTAACTTTCCTCCATGCTTAATTCTGTCAAGTCAGCCAACAGTTTTTCTCTGCCATAGAAGTGAAACATTAAGAGGATCCATCCAACAGTGTGGTGGAAGCTACCTGGAGATGTCAAAGATGTTTAAGCACTGGTCAGGCAACCATCCAAGCCCAGGTGCAGCTCATCCTGACTCAGTGTGGGGAGTCCCAACTACACCATCTGTTTAGTTTCCTTCTGGCTCCAAACTTCTATGATTTTATTATCATTGAATGTGTTTTATTCAGACCCTAGCAGTCCTCCAGACCTCAATGAGCTTCCCATGTTCCTCATGCAGTTAACAGTAAGCTTCAAAATAAAAGGGCTTCTTATTCAGCCACATAGATAGAAGGGAATTATAAATAAACAATTAAAAGAAAAGAAGAAATCACTGCTGTAAGTGAAGAATGTGTTTCAAATGAAACCAAAGCAGCTCCATTTCACTGAGGATGTTACTTGTAAGACAGATGGATGAAACTAAAATAAGCTGAATCACTTTGTACTTTCTTCCTGATAGACTGGAAGACATGCTTCACCAGGCTCAGCTGCTCTTCCTCTGCGAGGAAGCCAGGCCTCCATGGGGAAGTGCTGGGCACGGCTCACTTTTGCCTGCCACCACCTCCGAGTCACTCAGCAGAAGCCACGCCAAGCAGTAGTACTGCACGCTCCAGAAACAACACACACCAGTAACCCAGGAGGAAGCACCGCACGACAACACCCTGGTCTGGAAAATGTGATGGGTAACACAATGACTGATGAGTGTCAGCAGTGAGCAAGAAAAGCAACAGGTAATGGCAGAGGGGAAACCATCCTCTGTATCTCTCTCCTCTGGGAGAAGATGGAATGTAAGAACTGGGCTTTCCAGATGATCCCTTGGTAACCTTCTCATACCTTGTGTAACAAAGGTGAAAGTAATAAAGCCGTGCCTGTTAGGACACTTGGCAAGAAACAGCCAACAGCGAACATAAGGAATGCAAATCTGGCCTTGGCTTTCAGAGATGACTTCTGAAATCAAGGGTACAAACATGAGCATCAACATAACATTAAAGACTACAAGCCTGCTGTGAGACACTGAGGAAGCAGATTCAGGTCTGTCTCACTCTGCACACTGCCTTGCTCATCAGGAGTTTAGACTCCCCTGAGCTGGCACTATCCTCAAGAAGCACAGAGTATTTTAGTGCTCAGATTGCTGCTTTTGGCACTGTGCAAGCATATTTTGTATTTAATCACATCGATATGGAAAGAGCAGGATTTATGGAAAGCACCTAGGTAAGTTCCAGGCCTTGCTCCCATTAGCTTCCAGTGGTGACTCACAGCGTGGTTTTATGAACTGTCTGGAAAAATCCCATTGGGATCTTATCTGCATCTTTAAGCACATTTATAAATTTGACCTGCTGTTCCTGTACAGCCCTTGGAACAATGAGGTGATTCCTTTGGGGATTTCAGGAATGACAGTAATGCACCTAATAATGAAAGGATACCCTTGCCTATGGCACATCCAGTACTCAGACATCAACCTCCAATCCTTACTCCAATACATACCTATTTCTGACACTCTTTCTGTTTACATTCTTGCAGAACTCCACTGGGCTCTTACTATTTCATTAGCTGTCTAGACTGTCCTGCAGGTAAATACAGGGCACTTTCAAACGGGAATGAACACACAGGAGGAAAGAAACAAAAACAAACAGGCAGAGGAAAACACCCAAGATGCTGCTGACCTGACCTTCTAAAGCACTTGGTTAGGTTCTTAAAGGCACGACACAGTTTTGTTCCCTGTAAGAAAGAGCAGGTTGCTTCGAAGGACTGGTTAAGGACAGAGTCATTCAAACAGCTCCATAAAACCAACCACAGCGCTCGGGAGCTCGCAGCTACGAACAGAGGCGGCAGCCGCTGCAATACCCACACAAAGCACTCGTTCTGCTGCCGGCTTCTCCATCAGGAACCGCATCCTCCCCTCCGTCCTCGTGCTCCTGGCGACCGCCATTACCGACACCACGCCGGGAGGGGGGCGAGAGGGAAAGCAAAACCGCGGCAGTTGATTGGCTGACGCCATGCGTCGGAGAACGGACCAATGGGAGACAGGAACGCTGTTGCTGCGGTAACAGGAGGACTGCTGCGGCCTAGCCGTGCGGGTACCGCCATGCCGCCGCGGCGGGGGCCGTGCCTGGGTTACAGCCTGCCCCCTCCACAGGCATTTAAATGTCTGTCTTTAATGAATTCAGTAGTTCACACACCAAAGAATCTAAGGGGGGGGGACGACACCTTCTGATTTAATTCCGTAGAGAAACACAGCCGTAAATAACTAAATGTGTGTGTGTGCATGCGTACCTATGCACATAACAACAGCATCGGTTTAGTCCAGTGGGTCAACTTTGGCTTTAACAAATAAAATGCTGTGAAGGGAGGGTGGTCAGCTTGTTTGGAAGAACAACACCGAACGGGTGCGACTCAGCTTTCCCTGGCTTTTTAACAGCTATGAACTGCTTGATATTTTTGGCTCGGCTCTATTATTATAATTTTTGAAGGTTTTTTGGTTGTTTTTTTTCCTTTTAAAAAATACGAGGCCGTAGGCTTCCTCCCAAGACACACTCAGGTGGGGCCGCTTCTAACTGCTGACTTTCCCCTGGGGCACCTCATTTGGGTTAAAAAAAAAGAAAAAGGGGGGAAAATAGGGAAAAAAAAAGGGGGGGGGGGAAGTAGGGAGAAATGGGGGGAGAAGTGCGCCCTGATACACCCAGGGAGGCTCAGGTCGCTCCCCTGCCTGCCTCCCTGGCGCTGCACTCGCTGCGGGCTGTGTAACCTCATTACACGCGCTGGCGTAGTCCCTCAGATTGGCTTGAAAAGGCTGCAGATGGAAGCACACTGACATTCATCACTTGCAAATGAGGGCCCTACCGTCATCTCCGAAGGAAGAGCTCCATTCCCTAAGCCTTATTCCAGGGCGCTTTCCTGCTTGCTTTAGACGGGGAGCCTCAGTTGCAAATGGGCTGAGTGTGCTGGGGTTTATTGCTGCAGGAGCTGAGTGACTCCCTCTTGAGCCCCAGAGATGTCAACGGGGTTGCTCCATTTGCACGTCGCCTGGAGCGAGCAGGATTTGACCATTGCTTTTCCATGTCACCACTGGGAATTATTTTCCCAACATTAGGCCCTTATACATAAGTTTTGGTGTGTGATTTGTTCCACATAAAAGCTGCGCTGGGGCAGGCTGTCAGCTTTTAGCTTGCTTTGACTCAGACTGAACTTGGACTCCACAGCGAGTTTGGCCCGAATCAAAGTGATAAACCCAGTTGAGATCAGTGCATCATCAGGGAATGGGTTTGGTTTCTGCTGCAGCTGGTACTGTTTCATTGAGAACTAGTGCCGGCTGCATGGTAGAACATGATAGATCAAGATCATTTAATCTGTGTTACAGAAAATAGTATCTCTTTGCAAAGCATTGTTTTGTAATTTGTTTTCTCCTTTTTCATTCCATGAAGTTTCTGCAGAGATGGAAGTGAAAAACAAGGGAACAAACAGCACTGCAAGGGAATATATATTGGAGTGCATGTCTGAATACAATCAGAATTGGGCAATTCAGGAAGAGTCAAGAGATGTAGAAGAGCCCATTATTCCTGATCAGAAACTCAAGTGGAAGTTGAAAATGCCGATTAAAAAATAAAGAAGGAGAAAGAAAGACTTTTTTTTGTCAGTTCTCAATACTTTTCCAGGAAGTATTCCTGAGGGATTTCTGATCCGACAGAAATCAAGGATTAAGACTTTGAACCCTGACGTGCTTGGATTATTCGGCCATGTGGTTTGACCTAAGTTAACTCAGTGATAGTCAGAGGGGTTTAAAGAAGCAGCAAATGTGGAGATGCCCTAAGTCAGAATGGCTGACTTCAATAAAATGAAACAGAATATGTGGGACAGCAATGACAGTCATAGCTTCTGTTGAGTGGGTTTATTTTTCAGTCTGGAAGCCAAGAGACTGCACTGCAGACATTTCTACCTATTAAATGAAATAAAAACAGAACTAAAATCATATATAGGCTTCTGTCTCTACAGGCACCATGGGGTACAGTGTTACTTATCAGTGGTTAGCTCCAGCCAAGTTTAGCTTCTTCTGAAGCATTAATGGCTAAATCAGAAAGCCAGCCTGGCCTGCATTTCACCCAGCTTGACCACTGGTTGCTTTAACACGAAATATCAGAAACATTATGGTCATATGAACAGGATGTATTTTGGCAGTTCTGTTTGTCCAGGGCACATCCCTAAAACTCTGCAGCCAGATGCCACGTTCCTGGTTGCTAATCTCATGAGCACCTTTCCCATTGAGTCCTCTCTCTGGTTACATGAAGCACTTTTCCTCTAGCAAAGGTCAGCTTAAGAGAATAGACTTTCCCTGTAAGATCTGAGCAAGAAGTCTAAGGGATCACCTGAACTTACAGCTGTTCCAGCTGCCCTCCTGGTGCACCTTCCTTATATGCTCAATAGCAGACAGGTATGAGGCCAGGAATCAGTTTTTTCACCAGGTTAGTTTGAGAAGCTGCCTTCAGGGCTGGATATTGTTTACCTGAAGACTTTTTGGTCTTCTGTGGTGTGGGAAGTGATTCATTTCTAAAGATGATGTAAACCTTTTCCTGTTACAAACTTCCTATGTTTGCAGAAGCTCAAAATGTTAGTGATTGCTTTCATCCTCCTTGAACCTCTTCATTCAACACATTAATATCTTGAAGGCCTTTTGGTCTTTTATACCTAAAGTCTTATGTTTGTTACCAGGTAGTGGGATGCATATGGCATGTGAGTGATAGAATAAAAGAGAAAATGTCTATGATTTGTGGTATCTTTCTGGACTGAGCATTAATAGCTGGTTTGTTTGGGGAGAGAGAGAATAGGAGAGAGGAGGAGAGAAAGCACCAGCAGCTTCATTCATGGGGGGATGCAGGCACTGCCAAGTATCATTATGAAAATTCTTCCCTTTCATATGATATTAAACTCTGCTCTTGGCAGGTCCCCTGATGCAGTCAGTGTTTTTAGTAAAAATACATGAGGTCCTGAATTCTCAGTTCATTTCTCATTATATTACTCTGTTAATAGTCCTGGGAAATACACAAAAACCCCAAAGCTGTGTCTGTGCTCCTGCAAGGATCCCTGACTTGATGTTTAGGGTGGCTCTTGGCAATGAGTCTGCTGGAGAAGAGGGGAAAACATGTTTTAAAAGGAATGAAGGATCAGGTCTTGATTTTTCTGCATTTAGTTAGGCATTGAAATCAAGGCCAGGAGTTGGACCTCATCTTCCTAAACATGTCTGCCATGCAACCACCTCTTTTTCAAGGGTTTGAGGTTTGAGTCTTTACTGAGAGAGCTTAATTTTCAGCTCTGGATTTGATTCAATTCCTCCCCAAAGTCAAGATTTTCTCACTTGTAGTCAGCAAAGAGAAGGTTGACATGGCTTAAGTGTGGAGTTACTGCTCATTAGGCTGGACCACAATAAGCAAGAAAATAGGTGTTTCTGGTCTGCCACAAATATAAATTAAAGTGATGTGAAAGAAGGCATGGAAGTGTAACAGACCTCCAGTACCCTCCAAAGAGGGGCAAACAAAATGAATGTGAAGGTGTTTCACATATGCATGCTTTACCTTGTGGTGCACTGGGCTAGGAGCAGGCTCACAGTCAGCTATTGTGTCTGAAGTCACCGATGAAAACCCTGCAACTGCCATAAATTTATTGCTTGTGATCATGAGCAGAGCTGCAAGAGACTGGATGGTGATTTATGGTGCTGTGGCTATAAATTTTCTTCCTATCTCCTGGCCTGGGTCTGTTTCATCTAGAAAGCAATATTTGATTCATAATTATTTTTTGCGAAAAGCCAGTTGGTCATAACTTTACTACATCAGCCAAAGAAGTAGAAAAATCATGTAAATCTCATGTTGAATATCATATTGATTGTGAGTGAACAGTCTGTAAGACCTTTTGACCAGAAATTCTTAGCCCATCATTTCAATTGACAAATAACAATTGAAATATAGTCGTGGCCAATTCCCAGAAAGACAGAGAATGAAATTTCATTCGATCAATAATGTGCCAGACATGATGTGCTCCATTTTCGAACAGCCATGTCCTTGGAGTCCGGATGCCTCTGGTCATGTAGAACATGATGTATTATGATCAGAGGGCCTGATTTATAGTCCAATGGCACACACATATCCAAATGAGAATGAAGCCTCTGTTGAGTGGAACACTGCTGGTGGACTGTAAAGGTCATATTGTAAATGCATCAGACAGGTAAAGGTTGAGAGGCTTGCCTGTTGCACAGAAGTGTGAAAAATGAAGAAAGAAGTAAAATAGTTTGCTTGGTGTTGGGCAAGAAGTACATGGCACAGATGGAAAATGATCCATGACGTTATGTGTCCAGTCCCCACCTCTTCATCACTACTGTGTCTTCTCAAACCACTACTGAATGTGCAGGTTGTTTTCAGATTCTGTTGTCCAGCTGTGTCCTAATACTGCTGGGCTTTGGGCATCCCCATGCATACAGATAAGAGAGCTGTACTTGCACAGACCTGCACTGAGGTGCATGTTACCCTGGTCCTGTCTCCAACAGAACAGTGATAGTTGAGCATCTTGTCCCAGTTTCTGCTCCCATTGACTCTTGCAAACAGTAGATTTGAGCCAGTACAAACTAAACAGATCCTTAAATTTTCCTCCCCTCATTTTCTTTTCAGTTTAGGGCATGACGGCTGTAGGTTGGAGTTTAAGACCATTCATGGCTGCACTCACAGAACCTCAAGGCAACCTCTATTTGTGCCTATCTACAGAACGACGAAGAAAAAAGTGCCATTTTCCAAAAATTCCTCCCACTTCCTCCTCCCTGCCTGTGCCTCTAACCACTGCTGTATGTGCAGTTAATTGAAATGGTGTTTGTTTTATCTTGGATAACCTTGTAATTGATTGAGGTGGTGGACAGCAAGGCTCCAGAGTCATTTACATACCTGTGCATGGAGCAGTAATTTCTAGGAGGCTTTCCACTGCCCTTTTTTTTCCCCCTTTCCCCCTAAAGAACTATACTCCCCTGTATGTGCGTGTTTGCATACATCTATAGCTCTCTCTATAGGTATTCACATTCATATAGATCTCCCCACAGTCCATTCACTCTGGCTGCAAGTGTCCATTTGCTGCTGGTTGAGCTCTTATGTTACCTGGGGTGGTAAGGCTCCTGGCACTCTTCCCTCCACAAGAAAAACAGCCTGATTGGGGAGTGCTTGCTTCTTACAAGGCCTCGATTGTGTGCGAGGGCCGAAAAAGTAACAAATGCAGTTTAATTACATTGGATGCTTGGTGGCTGGTTTGCAAATCTTTTATTTGTTTTGAGAAGTGCCCCAGCAGCAGCACTAAATTTTGTGTGCATTCGGGGAGCCTAATGCACCACTTAATGCCGGGGGAGGGAAGACGGTCTCATTAACTGGGCTGCTGTCAAGCTAATAAACTAATGGAGAGCTTAAACAAATACAAAAATGAAGGAAGTAGACATGATGAGGGAAAAATAAAGTGACTAGACATGAAGTCTTGGGACGTGCGTTTCCACCTTCCCTGAAAAGGTGTCCTTGGGCACCCAGAATTTCGCGGATGGAGTTTTATGTCTCGTAATTCAAGTCCCCCTTTTAGGAGGCAAAGGTTTAGCAGATCTATCCAGGAATGAGTAACGAGAGAGGAGCTTTTCCCATCCTGCCCAGAAACCAATTCCAGCTCATCAGAGTTGTTCGTTTTGGACAAGAGTCAGATTCACATTCATAGGACAGAGGGGAGTGGAAAGCAATCAATGTTTAAATCTTCTCTTTGCCAGGCCGAGATGTTACATAAGGTTGAGGAAAATGTTTTATTATCCCAACGAAGCCCGAAGTGTCAGATACTGACAGCTTTTCAGAGACAGGATACTGGGCTTGATGGTCCAATAGTCTGACTCAGGCTGACAGATTTTCTATTCCACCCTCTCAGATTATTAGTTGTTCTTTTTTGGTCTGTTAGGTATGAGGCGATTTTAAACTAAAAAGGTTAAAGAAGCATACATGTTACTTTGGGACTGGGCTGAAAGAAACCTCCCAGTTCTGCTTATTATGGAGCCTAGGACACATACAAATCTTTTCTCGTCTGATTTCTCAGCGTGTCTGGCTGCCACCATTACACCCACTGAGATGGTACATTGATGACTGGCTGTGGAGTACATCTGGTCAAGCACATTTTCTCCTCCAAGTCCTTTTTGCACATGTTTCAGATGCCACCACATCCTTGTATGAGACTTCAGGGTAGCATAAGCCCATGTTTTACTGAAGTTTTCAACTCATAGTCGCAGAAGAAAGGGGTTAGTGGCTGTTTTACCTGCCTTGTTTCAACTCCAGAGTTTTCAGAAGAACTCAAGGGGGTTTCGGGGGTTTCAGGTGTTTCTGAATACTCAGTTATCTGACCCAGTGGTTAACAAAATGCAGGGTGCTCCATGTTCTTCTGCAGGAAAACATTTACAAATCAATGTGTCATTTGGTGACCTTTGCATCTCAGACACAGAGAGGTTCATGGTAAATAAGTCAAGGGAGCCATTGCCAGGTCATAACTTGAAAAACATCCTTTCAGACCCTGAAGAAAAGAAGTTTTGCATTTGGAGATCTACAGATAATGATGGGGGGTCCCAGCCAGCATGGGATGTGTATGACTGGGATCATAGGCAGATGTGTGAGGCATCAGATCTGAGCCAGGCTCAGCTTGGAGCAGGCAGGCAATAGTCTAGATCTTCTTGCAGAAGCATTTGAGCTTTCCACTGTTTTTGCTCTCATTTTCAGGATGAAGTATCTGAGGGCAGTGGGATTTCTTCACTGGATTTGGTGGCGCCTCATGAGTGTGACAGCAAGCGAAAGAAACAGGAAGATTTCACGTTCACCTCAGATCAAAAAAACAGCAAACCACATTTTAAGTACTTATTTTTCTTCTGGAGGTCTCTGCATTGGGTAGTAGTTTCTTTGGAAAGTTTTGAAAGAGAGTGAGGTTGTTGGTTACATTCTTACAGCCCTCCTCATGCGTTCTCCACGGTGTCAGGACAGATCTTGTAGCACATTACAGTCATGGCTGCAGTCTCCCCTAAATTACATCCTCTGCAACCTTCCCGAATCCAAGGATTTCCTTCAGCGGAGTGCGGTTCCCTGTGTTCTTGTGAAGTCTCAAGTGGGAGGCAGCAGTCACGCAGAGCTGCTCAAAAGATTGTGAAGGAAATCTGTTCTGAAGAGAAATCAAAATCAACATTTTCCAGGAAGAAAGTCGATTTTGTGTGTTTATTGTCATTCCTAAGGTACTTCAGGCTACCTTTTGATTAATATATCTGAATGAATTATCTTGGCTCTGGAAGAGGATTTTGGTTGCCTTTGGTTAATGCTGTGCTATAAGATGCTGAAATACTGCACAGATGACTGAGGCAAAGACATCAATAGTACAGAGGAGAAGCAAAACTTTCCATGTCACTCAAGACAAAAGCTTTCATCTGCCTCAAACTAACCTCTGAATACTTTCTTCCCTCAAAAGCTGAGCTGTTTCAACCCCACATCCCACCCTAAGAGACGTGGAAGAGCTGGATCTGCATCCATTACTCACTCATTGCGTCGTGTCATTTACCATAATTACTGTGCCCATTATTCACTCATAGTCTTGGGTCACTGCTCTCATCTTCTGCTGGTCTATGCATGCTGAATTCCCCAGCAGATGGGGCATCTGACATCTCTCCATGTGCTGAAATACAGTAGCCTGTAGCAGAGGGAATAGGCTTTGGTCAGTGTTTCTATACTCATTAAGGGTCTGGGACCAAGCATTTAGTCACAGTGCAGCAAAGTGCAGATTGCATGATGTCCTCAAAGGGATGATGAAGATTCAAACTGAAGGGAGTTGGAAGCTCTCTGTTGTAATCCACAAGCAATAACAAGAACCAAACCAAACCAAAATGAAAAAATCAAAACCATCTTCAGTGCAGATAATTTACATTTTTTCTGATTTAAAAATTGTAAAGGGAATTTAAAAACTCATTTGAATCAGGATATTTGAGATTTGTTACTTGGAATTATTGCTGGACCATGCTGATGGAAAGACTTGGGTTGTTAAGAATGCCTACAGGAGGAATGGTTTGTTATGAATATTGTATTTCATTAACAAATCATTGTGAAGCCAGTCTCAGTCTCCAAATTGCTTAAGAACACTCAATTCCAGATATTCATCCCAGTGTAATGTGGTTAACCAGATGGATGTGGACCCAGGATCAGATGAGAAGATGCAGTTAAGCAGTAAAATAATGGACACTGAATAACAAACACACTTCCATAATCTATTGGTCTGACACACAACCACCTAATTGCTTTCTTCTGTCCCTAGTCAGTAACTTGGTGCTTTTATCTGCATTTTTTGAACATGGAGACATTTGACTAACTCTGCTTTTAGTACAGCATATCCCTGTGACATAAATTGCCTTCAATCATAGCAACAAGATGTTCACAAGGTGGTTAGGTTAGGTGTGCCATACTGTGCTTCTCACCTTTGCCTTTGATGCAATATACGTCAGATTTTGTTACCGTGGGCTTCTTATACATCATCTTTCTATTTTCCTAAGCTTTCCTCTGTGTGAGGGGTAAGTGAAGGAAAATAGACTGGGAAAGGCCTGGCTTGAAGGGCAGAATTTAACCTGAAGTGAATTTGAAGAGGGATCTCTGTGTGTGTGTGTGTGTGAAGAAATAGAGCAGCCAACTACAAGAGATTTTAGCATGTTAGAATAAAATACATAGACTCCAATACAACTAGCAAACAGATGTTTTCCTTTGACTGTTCTTTTTTTCGGTAGAAAAATAACATTTGGAAGCATGCATCTCAGCTCTCCTGGAATCAGTGCATCTACTCTGGTTTGTGGCACTCACCGGTACAACGTGATCTACATGATAGAGTCAGGGCAGTTGGTAAAAAGTTGTTTTAAAATACATCCAGAGTTTTTCTTCTTCCTTTTTGATTTTTCTTTAATTTTTAACATGTATTTAAACATGGATAAAGTGAATCGCACGCAGATCCAGGATGGAGTTTCCAGCCTGAAAAACAAAGATCAGCATTTGGTATTGCAGTTAACCACAGATAAAATTCAAATTTGTAACACTTCATTTAGCAGAGTATTAACCCCTGGGGAAGTGAATGGGAGACCTTCAGTGAACAAAACTCCTCAGTGTACTGCAGGTAAAAATATATCTCCACCAGTTTTGCCCCTGCATCCTACAATGGCGTGAAGGTGACCAGCCCAGCTCCAATACGTTTGTTTAACTTGCTCGGAATTAATCAGAGCACTCTGGGATTAATAATTACTTAATCAAATAATCGCTTCGTGACTCCAACACTATCTTTTTTTTCCTTCAAGCAGGCTGGAAATAAGAGCCGTGAATATGTAAATTGGAACTGATTAGAGGATTAGGTTTCACTCTTTTTTTTTTTTATTATTTGGAATAAAAACAGCCTGCAGATCCCTCTAAGCCAAGCCATGGCTCTGAATTACAACACTAGCGCCTGTCGGCTGTGATAATTTCACTTCATTAAGTTCCAGATATAAATAGAGAAAGTTTCTTACTTTTTTTCCATGCACCACCTTTAATAAGCATGGACTGGAAACACAGGGGTTATTGATCCACGCAGCTATTGGGTCTTTGCGAGGCTGGGGTAACAGTGAAAGAAGACCAAACACCTTCTACCTGTTGGCTGCTGCAGCCAGGGACAATCCATCTCTGTTGAGTCCATTTTAAAGCTTTTGCAGAAACTGCCAGAAAAGCATTGCAAGAATGAAAGTGTCAGCCTTGCCATTCATAGCAATGCAAAACAAACACGCCTGATAGGCCACGACAGCGAGAAATGTCAGCAGGACCATGCCAGGATTCCAAGGGTAGATGCCTGATGCGAAGCACCTCCGTAAGGTCATCCCAGATAACTCAGCTGAACGTGCTAAGCAGCCTTTGTGCATCCCTGGAAGTCTTCCTAGTAAAAGGACATTCTTCATACACTTTTTCCTGTAATATACAAGACTGTGATTTTTAAAAGCCTCATCCACAGGCCAGGATGTGGCCTGCATCCAGTAAGGTTTTTAACCATGGCATCCTCTTGTATCCACCAGGTATAAGAGGGTTTGCATTTTAGATTGTTACACATGCTTGTCTGCAAATCCATCTGTGGGATCCCTACCACAGAGTAGGGAGCTGACAGCCTTATCAGTGACATGGACCATTCCTTTACTTTGTGACTTACAAATTGAGTCTAGGATATATAAAGCTAAAAGTACTGTACTGCAGCTCAGAAAAGAATTCTGTGGCAGAGCAGAACCATTTATTTCTCAGAATTCAAGGCTTATGTTCTTTCTTTTAATGAATTTGTGAATGGCGTTTAGGTAAAGATGCAGAATAAAAGGAAGTTCTTGATTTTGCACTAGAAATAAAACTCCCTTTGCCATAAATAAAAAAGAAGCTGGAAGGTGGGGGATTTCTGTTGCTACAGCTCTTAAGGACAAAGATTCTCCACCATAGATACTCTGATTTGATTAGATTGATTTCCATGGCCTGCTGAAAGGAATAATTCTACCAGATGAAACACTAAAGTTCACCCTGATCCCAGCTAGCAGTATACTATGGGAATGCCATGGAGCCTCATGATGTTTACAGCCATTCCTATGTGTGCAGTGGGATGGGATGGGATGAGATGGGATGGAGGACATCCCACCTCCCTGTTTTGTGGGGCCATTCTATGGTCTGAAAACAGTCACAGACCTACACAAGGGCAGGTGCTGGGTTTGTTTGAGGTGGATATGCAAACATCCAAGAGCATGGTGCCTGCCTGCGCCGCGGCTGTGAGGAGACAGTAAAGTCTTGTGAAGGAGAAATGGAGTGAAATACTTGGCTGGATGCTCATATTATGTAAATTCAGGCTTGAAAGCTTTAAGTATTTTCTTTTAAACCTCACACACGTGGGGCTTGCTGGGTATTCCTGACGGCTGCAGTGATTCTTGTGGAATTAGGAGGGCTTGCAGCTCTGGAGTAGAAATGTAGCCACTCCAGCTGATTCTTATAAGCACCCTGTAGGCTGTGTGTGCTTTGCAGACGTTTTGTGATGGCGATTTTCTACAAATAAAATAAAAAATAGAATTAAAAATAATTTAAAAAAGGAAAAAAGGAAAAAGAAGGAAAAAAATAAAGAATAAAAGCAAAATCATTGCTGTGAAACTGCAGCGCTGCTCAGAGAAACCTTGATGCTTTTACCAGTATGGCCAGGTACTTCAAGGCTAGGTGTGCTCAAAATTGAAGTCTAGGAATTAGAGAACACAAACTTCATTTATTCAGGAGCAACTGGAAAACGGGACTGTGTTTCCATGGAGATGGGGGTTATTTCCTTTCCCACAATTCGAATCTTTTCCACAGGTCCTGTTTCTTTCTGGTCACCCAAAGGTTTTGTTGAGGAGGATTTTTCGGGTTTGATCTCAGGAGTTGGCCAAGCTCCAGGCAGAACAATGAAAAAGTCGTAAATCACTTTAATAGATATAACAAGAGGGGAAAAAAACAGAAGGGAGAGAAATGGAGGGACTGAAATATGGCAGTCCTAGCACATCCATCAAACACAGAATACTCTTCTTGAGGTATAGGAGAAGACAGCAATTAAAAGCAGTTTAGACCTGCTGTGGTGCTTTAAGAGCTCTCATGCCTGAGGTGCCATTCAGATTCGTGTATAAAATACGTATCTTGAAGTTTTCTCCCAATTCTGGTGCTAGGGAGTGTTCTGTGCTTAACTACTATCACATAACGTTAAACTTACAAGGCCTAGAGCTGCTTCACCAACTCAGGGCTGTTTGGAGGTGGGATTCATCCCAGCTACCTTCAGCTATCAGGACTATGGCCACCTCGTCCATCTCAGTAGTGCCTAGGGAAAGACATATTTCTATATTCAGCCCCATCTAAGATATCTTCAGAAGGTGGTGGCAAAGAACATAGGATGTCTGGGGTTAGAAAAGACCTTTAAAGATGATCTAGTCTAACCAAGATGGAGAACTCCTGTAGGTATCAAATGAAACCTAGGGGTAAAATACCTTCCTGAACTGTGTACAAGTAGACAATGCATGTGTATTGGTCTCAGAAAGTCAAATAGATAACAAAGCAATAGCAATACTCCTACAGTGACCATCACCTCAGTGTGCAGTTACATTGCTCATTGGCAGTGCAGTGTGGGTTGTTCAGGCATATCATATTAAGTGCTGTGTCTTACTTACAGATAGTCTACGATACCTGGGTGCCTCTGCCGGCTTCAACCACTTGCAGCTTCTAGTGATATTAGTAGAGCTCTGTAGCAGGTGCCTAGAATGACAGTTTGGTTATTATAGTATGTTTATACCATGCCCCTTTCAGCAGAGATAAAATGGGTTTGTAATCATTTTTAGCAACATACAGAGGACCAGAAATTACAGAGTTTATGTGGGGAATAGTTTTTGTTGAAGACTTTTTTTCTCATCTCTCCTCTAAAAGCACAGTACACACAGCTTTCCTCCTGCAAAGCTGATAAATGGTTTAGCCATTATTTAAAGTTTGGGAAAAGGCAGCTACAGAAATAACATTTTAATGTATTCCAGATTAGACTTCATGCTATATTTGTAATAAAGACTTGTTTCCAACACTGGTTGGCAGATCACTCATACGGACAATTATCCAAATAGCTATTAGGATACGATTGCGCTCATTTCCAGGCAATGCAAGGTTGCCAGAACTCAGCTTGGCTGGCGGGTGGATTTTGGTTTGACTTTTGGAGAAAGCCACAAGAATTTGTCAGTCGTCTTGGCCGTAAGGGAGTCTTCTTGTCCTGAGGCTATTCTTTTTCCTCTTCAAATACAGAAGGCAAGACATGCTCTCGTTTGGTTTGGGTTCCTCTGTATTTATTGTGTTATCTCTCACCTTAGCAGCCTCAGGAGGAGAAGACTCAGATGCGCCTAGGTTAGGAGGTGAAGGACCTCTCCCATCATTCATAGAGAAGAGGAGGATCAGTGTGGGAAGAGCACATGTATCCTGGAGGGTGAAAGCTGAAAAGAAAATCAAAGGTAATGAATTTCTTTATGGGGGGAAGGGAGCTTAAGGGAGGGAATACTTAATGCCAAGCTAAATCAGTGTTAGCTGGGAATGGAGACTCCCTCTCTATGCATTATGCTAATGTGTCATTTGGCAGATCTGAATCATGCTGGCTGGTTTAGTCAAGAGCTTGAGTCGAAGAACACCAACTCCCTCAGAAGGAAAAAGATCTCTTTGTGCCAGGGAACATGTTCTGTGGTGAGATGATGTAATTGTGTAAGTCATAGATGCAGTGGTCAGGAAGCTTTTTCATATTGAAAGATAGGTAGGTCCACAATGGTCCATGAAACTTCCAGTAGCTCCAACCATTCCTGTTTCTAGAGCTTAGAACAGAAACAGGTTCATTGTGTATTGCCAGTCTAGCGTGGGTGCTGCTTAGGCCAGCAGACAGAGGTTGGGTTGCGGTGTGTGTCTCTATCCGAGACTTACAATAGTGCATTTCATGACCTTAAAGAAAGTGCTGCAGTGATGATGCTCAGTGTTCTTCCCTTTGTAAAACAGACATAATAAATCTGAAATCAAATCATAAGCATTGCATTGTTGAGATGAAATTTATGGAAGATAATGTGCTCCTTGTGACAACAGGAGACTTGATAAAAGATCCAAAGCTTTGCTCTTCTCTGTTTCTATAATCAGATAACATAAACACATCACATTAACTGCAAGGAAGTACCAGCATTTCTGATAAATGTCTTTCCAATCTCTGTTCATCGAGGAGATGGCTCAGGACTAAAGCATCTTCTTTCTCATTTGCTTGTCATGAATAACACCATATACTATATAGTTGAACAGTGGAAACACTGCTTCAAACACAGTCAGGCTGCTGAAAATGAAAGCATTTTAAAGGACAAGAATATCACAGGCCCTTTGTTAAAAAGTAATCTCAGGATCTTCCCTGAGCTCCAGTTAGGTCCCCTTCTAAAGCCTTTTCTGTGGGGTGAATACTACAACATTTCATGTCTAGAAGCCTTTTCATGCTGGCTGTGCTCCAGCACAATGACTGCACCAAAAGGGCTGAGGCATATCCTACCAATGGAGCAGAAAATTGCTTCAAGGCTAATAGCAGTAACACCTTGGCGAGGCAAACTCTGTAATTAGCAATAAAGCAGCACCCATGCCCAATAGGGCTATTGTGCCCCATACACGATTCTGCTCTTTGGTGCAAAGGGGAAACGTGTGTGTGAGTGAGAATGAGTCTACAGAGGTAATCCCCATCCAGTACGTTAATGATGAATGTGCTGCAGTTGGCATAAAGTGGAACCTGTGCCAAGATGAGGCCCTCTTGTTCCTTCCAATCCCCCCACCTACCTTCTCCCAAACACCACATTATATTTTTAGCATTTTTATTTTCTTGGAAAAATATATAAACTGCAGTTATAAAATGTGTTTAAACAAATGAAATGGAGCTAGCAGGTGTACAGAATGGCCTAAAATGCTTCCCATGGCTGCAGTTAAAAAACAAAAACTAAACTTAAACAGTTCCATAGTGGAAAAAAACCCCTGTAGGTAGAGTATATAAACGTCAGTTTGTCACACTGCACAGTCACTTTCAGTTTCGACTCCTCAAATGCACCTTGTTCTGGGTTTGGCTCTTCATTTCTCACCCAGATTAAAGGGGTTAATTCGCCCATTGCCATCTATGGGGAAATCAAACCCAGAAGTGCCACTATTTTACATTCCAGGATCCCTAGTACATCACGTGGAAAGCTAATCTGCAAAGCTGTGAATGCATTCTCTTATTTACTATTTTTGTCATCTCCGTGTTGGATCTGGAGAAGACTTGGGCTCAGTTTGGAGATTATTTATCTTCAAGATTTAATTTTTAGTAGAATAGAGCTGCATTTACAAGTTTAATCAAAAGCAAAGGACTTCTGGCAGCGCACATGAAAATATAAGCACATACATATATATAGATCTGTATATATGTGTGTATACATATAGAGAGGATGTCTGTCCAGAATAATTTATAATCAAAATACACCATTAGCCAAGAGACAGGCGGCTATGTGGAGAAAGAAAATAATTCATTCTAAGTAGAGCTGGAAATAGAGTTTTGTATTGTACTTGTGCTGCCTGGTTTGGTGGAAAACCTATACGAAAGGGAATATTTGAGAGGTTAAAACTAAACAGATTTTAGCTTCTTTTTACCATCCGAATGCTCAGAGGAGTAAATACATTGAATTTTGGGTAAGGCCCATCACTAGCTCCTTGTAGCAATTGCTGAGCAATTTTAGCATAGGGAAGAAGTAGCCTTTGATTCAGCAGTGAAAAGTGACATTTTTATGTCTGGCTCTGAACATTTCTCTCTGCCTACCTGAATGTTGATAAAATGCTTGTTTCCTAAAATAGTCCCCATCTCAGAATCTTTTTTATCTTAGTTTTGCTTCAGTTTTTGTTTCTTTCTTGTTCACAATATGGGGAATTGTTTTTCTCTGTGTGTATGCCATTTGAATTCTGTCCACTTGCAACCGAGATCAGGGTCATAGCAAGATATTTTGCTGTCCTGCAGGCAGCAGTTCCATGCTGTCCTTTAAAAAGTTACTCAGAGAAAGACTGTACGAGTTCCATAGGGAGCTCATAGCCCTGGAGGTAACAGATACTCAAAGCAGGTTTCTTGGTTCAAGAAGCACATTTGATCCTAGTTGGCATCTCTCTTGCTTTGGTTTTGCTACTGCCTCCTAAAACTCACATTGTTCCAGGAAGCCACATTCTAGACACGAAGCCCCCGTCCATTTTTAAGGTTCCTCTTTGCAGTGTTCCATGGGGCAGCGTGGTCCTGTACCACTCCAGAGCTCCCTTTCCTTCCAGCAATCAAGGATCACAAAATACATTATTGTTAAGTTAAACAAACCCTCACTTTTTTCCCATAGGGAGTTACTCAGCAGGCAGTAAAACGTGGCACATCCCAATCTTTCTGAAGCTGTTTGGTTCTGTAAATACATTGTTTTAATGCACACATTTAATTCAGGGTTCAAATTCATTGAAACGCATTCCCATCTCCATTCATTTGTTTAACGTCCCATTTAACTCTGACAAAAAATGTTGGGTCATTTATTTTTACAGGGATGAAGCTCACAATCATACCCTGTGTTATTAAATCAATAGGGATGTAATTGTTATTGTTTTGGCTAATTAAAACTTTTCAAATGAAAACCAAAGTCTGAGTATGTTCCTGATTACTGTAGTTGTCTGAAATGCTTGGTTCAAATCCTTGGTCCTGTTTATTGAACGCCCACCATTCCTCTGGCATGTTCATTTCAGAGTGATTCTGCAGCCCCGTGCAGTGTGCTGATACCAGTGTTAACATGCCATGCTGACAAATGTGGATGGATGGGTGATTCCCAGTTCTGGGTCCAATATTCTTTTAATGAGTCAATTTGCTCTGAAGGGGTAATTCATTCCACCACCCCTCTACAGAACTGGAGACATGGTTTAAATCTCATATTTACTGGAAGGCTGCAAGTGTGGTGTGAGTGCTCCAAATTGATGGGGACTCATTTAGAAACTGAAGAGAAAAAGAGATGTGAGAAAGGAGACATGGTTCACTTGGGTGAAGTACAAGGTTTCTGGCTGTGTAAAAGCAGCTGCAGAATGAGGCAAAGACACATGGCAGTAAATCAAAACACTTGAATGCAGTGGACTGTTGAAAAGCTTTGGAGATGTCTTCCCATGTAGTGTAGCTTTATCATTGCTCCAGCTTCTGCAAGCTTTTTGGTACCCTCATCTCTGCACACAATTACAAACCCCATTACCAGAAAGGATTTCTTCAAGCCTGAAGGCAATCCAGCTCACTGTGCTAACAGGGATGGACTTGGAGGAAGACTATTTTAAACTCCCGATCGTATGCGGTATGAAGTTTAACATGATTTGCAGTGAGGCTGTGAAGAGTTCTGCAGCTCTATAGTCAAGCCCATGCGTGTGCACAGACAAGTGAAATCTTTTCAAACAAACAGGGTGGAAATTCTTGGCTTTTCCAGGAACCGGCCTTATTTCCAGCGGATCGTGGTTTGGATTCCCAGCCTGCCCTTGGCATTCCAGTTTTCCCCCTGCTTGCCACAGCTAGATTGTGTTTGCTGTTTCTGGACCGAAATGCTGAACAAGATCCTAGTGCCTCAGGTAGGCGATGTTTTACCATGGAGGAAGAAATCCCTGTCTGAAGTCAGGGAATGGAACCTCCTAGTTCACAACTGGCAAACCTACAGGAAAGGAATTGAGCTGCCGTCAGTAGGTAACATATT